CACAGACTTCAACTTCCTGCAGCGGCTGTGTGCTGCTCTGTGTGTGCTTACGTGAGCTCTGGAGTGCTGGAGGGTTTTTCTCAGTACTCCTGCACCGTCCCCAGCGCCGCTCCTGCTTCTCTGGATGCTTAGTGTCTGCTCTCTCGCCCTGCCCTCCAGGTGGACAGCTGTTGCTTTTTACACAGTGCCCAGGTTACTGGTGGGCGAGGGAGAGGAGGGTTGAGGAGAGGCTCCTGGTTTTCCTATTCCAGGGTCTGGTTTAGGCAGGCCCTATGTGCCTGAGCCTTGGGGTGACAAACAACCCCGCCTCCTACTCAGTGCCCAAGTGGGTTTCCTGCCCCTCTCCTTTTGGATGACGGAGTCTGCTTTGCACCAGCGCAGGATTCTAGATTTGGAAGGTTTCCTGCCCTCGCCCCTGCAGTGCCTTAGTGTCAGTGCATGATGAAGACATCAGATTTCCACACCCTCCCCCCCAACCTCCGGGGATGTGATGACTTTTTGCCTTTCTCCCAGGAACAGATGGCTTTTGCCTCCTGTCACTCAGACTTCTACCCAGGGTGTGGGAGTCTCTTTCTTCTCTCCTCCTTCAGCAGTGGGCTATTCCTTTATCTCAGAGGAGGGTCCAGGCATCTGCAGATTATACCCCTGTCCTACCCGTAGCAGTGGGTCACCAGCTTGAGCTCCTGCAGGGCCAGGGCAGATGGCACGCCTGCTCTACCCAGGAACCTCTGCAGGTGCTGCTGAGCAAGCACCACCCAGGTCATTCTCAGGTCTCCTGCCCATCCCCCAGTCTCTCTCCTGAGCAAAAGCTCTTTAGGGAGAGCAGGCCCTCCTTGTGCCTAGGACTCTCAGGAACACTAGTCCATAGTCAAACTTCATGAATCTGTTAACTTATTAGATGTTTTCTTCGTACCCATTTTTATGGCTACATCTAATCTTCCTGTGCTCTGTCAATACAGAAGGAGTTCATTTGCCCCATCTTTCCTCAGAGGAGCTTGTCACCCCTTTGGAATTTAGTTCACCCAAGAGTCAGCTCAGGTGAGGAACTCGGTTTCTGAGGAGCTCAAAATACATTGTTTTTTTTAAAGTTGTGCATCTTTTCCCACATATGGTGGAAGTAACTTTCTCTTGCAGTTTTCTTCATCTTAAACAGGAGCAGATCTGCTTCCTTTTTAAGAAACTTTCAGACAAGTTTAACATGGCCTGCAAAACCATGCATAGTCATATTTGCATCTCTCCAGCCAAATCTCACGTCCCTCTCCTCCTCCCTCCCTCACTACGCTCCCGTGACAATGGTCTCGCTTCCACGGTTGTGCCAAACTCGTCCCCAGCCCAGAGCCTTTGCACATGCTGTTCTCTCAGCCTTCGGTCCTTCCCCATGCCTGTACCTGGATGACCCCCGCTCCTCCAAAGATCCGTCCTTGATACATGCACCCTATGTCCAAATCCGTATGCAAATTACTTCCTCATTCCTTTTCACAGCTGGACAGTAGCCTATTATCCGGGTATATTGCCTTACTTTAATCAGTCCTCTTGGTGGATATTTAGATTATGTTTGGTCTTTGTTTTTATAATTAATAATCTTGTATATAAAGTATATCTATAGGATATATTCTTAGAAGAGTTTCTGGATTCAGTGGTACATGAATCCAGAAATGAGGAGATCTCTCATGGTAGTGTTTCTCTTACTAAGAGTGAAGTTAAGTCCTGGCTGGTGTAGCTCGGTGGATTGAGCACGGGCTGCAAATCAAAGCATCGCAGGTTCAATTCCCAGTCAGGGCACATGCCTGGGTTGCAGGCCACAGCCCCCAGCAGCCACACATTGATATTTCTCTCTTTCTCTTTCTCCCTCCCTTCCCTCTCTAAAAATAAATAAATAAAATCTTTAAAAAAAAAAGTGAAGTTAAGCATCAGTTCATGTCTTTAAGTGCTTTTGCGTCCTGTGTCCTAAAAGTTCCACATGTTTCACAGACTCCTAATTATCAATGATTTTTTTCCTTACTGATTGTAGGAGTTCTTTATGTGTTAGGGAGTTGTGCCTTTGTGCGAGGAGTTAGCCTTTCATAGTATTCAATACTTTTGCTTCACAGTACGTATTCCTATTTTATTGATGTCTTTATTTATGATTATTTTTTAAAGCTCCATAAGATCAAGGTCCATGTTCATTGTTTGTCATTGTGTATTGAGCACCAAATAAAATGCTGAACACATAATAAATGATCAATGAACATTTAATGAATGGGCCAAGCATGACAAAGAGAATCTTGGTACTTAAGTAGCCTGGGAAATTGGAAGGGAACTATTTTGTATGGAAAGGTGATGAATTTGATTTTGGATCTGTGATATTTAGGTGACCGCCAATATGCTAAGTAGACTATTGTACAGTGCTCTTAATTGGCAAGGTCCTCACCAAGATTTTAGAGTCATCGCCGTGAAGTGTTTGATTGGAAACAGATGGTCTCTGAGGGGTGGGAGGTTATGTGAGGTTCTTGGCTAAGTAATCCCAATCAGAAACAATTTCAAGGGATCATAGTTGTTATAGCAATTTTTTAAAAATATGAAAAGAAAAGGAAAAATAGGAGCATTATATATTTGTAAGTATAATGATGTGGGGAATGTAGACAATTTTTAATGCCTTGGAACAATGATGATTATTGACAAGTATTTAGATGATATGTTGCAATTATGCCCCAAATACATACTGTAAAGAAAAGAAAACCTTTACTAATGGAAAACTGAGTTCATCATACTCATGTAAGCTTGTGGAAATAACAAGTGCTTTTTAATATTAAGTAGGCTATTTGGCTTATCAGTATATTCCACTTTCCAGCTTATAATTGGACATTGTGTTTTCTGTTACTGAAACATCACCGAGAGATAGTTACTGCCAATTTAGTCTCCGAGTCTGTTTTTTACAGCATATTCACTGCATGACAAAGAAGAAACCATGTAGTCTTCTAAAAAGAAATGATTATTTTTTTCAGAGCAGAGAATTTATCCTAAAATAAGCTATGCATGATATTTAATGTACTGTAGTATCTTGATGGCTAAGGTTGTCAAATAACAATTTGACTTAAATAGATGTGAATTTGTCCCCTTAATAAGTCTGCTGTGAAATTATAGTCCCTGTTCAACAATTGTAAGAAAATGAACTGGGCAGGAATTCTCTTCTGCCGGCACAGGGGATGTGGTATCTCACTGTCAGTCTCGATTTTCAAGTGAGCCTGTGGATTAAAAGGTACTGTCTTTAAAGTATACATTTTTTCCTCCTTTTCATTAAAAATCTATAAATTAAGAAATGAAAAGTATGGGTAGAATTCTGCTGGACAGACAGATCATTGAGACAAAAGTCTTAATCACATGAGGGTGACTTTCAACTTAACGTTTAGCTGCCTTGCCTTACTGCCTTATTGATCAGAAACCGTTATTTCTGGGCGTTTTTGTCACGAAGGCAGGGTTTTTATGTGCAGCTGTCAGATTCTTCGCTGCAGACGAGGGGCTCATCACTGATGAATGAAGTAATCTGTAACATCGGCGCTGCGGACACGGCGGAGAAAACGCCTGTGTTTGCGCCTGCGCAGCAGCAAGTTTCTCCAGGTCTGGCTGGCCGAGCACGTGCTGACCCCGACACAGGCGGTGACAGGGAAAGTGTCACTTCGGGGTCTTTCAAGAAGCCAGTCAATTGCTTATGCTGAATTCCCAGAAGTGCTCATTTTCTACTTAAAATAGGAACATGCATTCATTAAGAGAGAAAAGAAATTCCTAGGTGGCCTGTGTTTACTTAGGAAGGAAACAGTTATGAATTTTTTACCAGGGTCTGATTTTATACAACTTGTTTTAGACTGGAGGTAAATATAAAATAAGTCTTGTTTGGCTTTCCATCATTACAAAAACAACATCCTGAGAGCTGTTGTCAAAAATTATTCTTTACAAAGCAAATGGTGGTGGAGTAAGGTTTAATTTCATTCACATAGTCACTGTTCCCGCATCTTTGGTCTGCCTCTTGCTGAGACTGGGGTAAATGGGAATCGGTGGTTTGTTGGTACAGCCCAGTTACTCTCCAAACAGGAGGCTCCCTGAGCGCGAGTTCTTTCTTTGGTGTGTTAATCTGTCTCATACCGTCAAAGGAGCCACGATAAGCCAGCACCAAGGACTGATCCAAAAGGTCAATGAAAATCCTTAGCAGTACTCAGGGATGGAGTGCAGGGGTGGAAGCCATTGTGTTCTAGAGGGTTCGAATTGGAGTGTAAGAGAATGTGGACCACCTCAGTGTGGACGGACCTGTTTTCATGGGCAATGAGGACAAAGAGGTACTCATTTTCAGAAATATGGCCAAACGATTGCTTGCTTGCTTCAGTGTGCCTCTCTTAATAGCTAACTATGAACCCCATTACAGAAACGGAAGGTAAGTTTAGCAAAAGGTTTGGCCGCTTATGTTTAGCACACAAAATTCTTGAATAAAATATAACACCGCAAGCCATTGTAAATCACTTTGCTAAACTTTTAAACTTCATAAGGAATTCTGTCTTGTCCAAAAGCTACTTTCGAACCCGTGCTGACCTGGCATTCACGCACACGTTTCCTTCCCAGTGGAGCCGAGTGAAACAATGCGAAGGGAGCCAATTAGAGGAACTTTGAGCCCGAGGAGACGAGGAGAGGCCATCTCGTCCCTCCTTCTGCCTCCAGGCAAAAATGATCCCCTGCACCGAAGATTTTTACTCGAATCCTGCTGACAGAAATGCTCTCACCACACGTAAAGGACAAGTGCTAATCCAGTTAATGCAACTAAAGCAGATGAACCGTTCGGGGCTTATTTATTTTGTTCTAAAGAAGCTGAGTATGAAAGCTCATCTGAATTGTTTTAATTCCTCCTTTCTAGAAAATCATTTTGTATGAGAAATGTAGTCAGATCATTGTGAAGATGTGGGAAGTTGGTGTCTAGGAAATGTGATTATCTTTATCATCTTATTAAATGTATTTTTGGTTTCCTTTTACTCTAGGTCTACCTTACGGGTGGGAGGAAGCTTACACAGCAGATGGCATCAAGTACTTCATCAAGTAAGTACAAGCATCTCAACCAAGTAAGCAGTTTTTTCACATCTGGAGAGAACCTGGAAGTTGCAGAATAATCAGCAAAACCGAGAAACCCTCTTGGAGGTTACAAAAATTAGAAACAAGAAATGTAGGCTCACCATTTTCATTTCATGTGATTTAAATGCTCATATCGGATATCGTTTAGGGAAAGAAAAAAAAACAAGTAATAATTTCAAGGGAAACATCAAAAAATAGGAGCAGGATCATCATTTGAACTTAAATATTGACTGCCTGGATTCACTTCTGGTTTAAAGTTACTAGTATTTATGAAAGGTTAATCTAATGAAAATGCCAGTTAAAACTTCTTAATAATACTACTAATAAGGAACATTTTCAGTGCTTTACAAAGCACACAGTTCATTTACCTGCAGATATTTTTTGAGCATTTGCTGTGTGCCAGGCAGTGTCGTGTGCATGCCTTGCGGATCCCATGGTGAAATCCATAGACTGGTTCCCTGACATCATGGAATGTACATAATTGTGAGGAAAGAGAGGGAACAAGTAACTGAAGAGATCAATGAGACAGTCTGTGAACAGACCTTATCTTAATGGGTTCTCAGAACACCCTTTTAGGTATTTGTGCCTTATTTTCCCTGTCTGATGAAGAAATAAGAGCCTAGAGGAGATGCCAAAACATCCACAGCCACCAAAGGACCAGCCCAGAGCAAAACCAGTCTCCCAAACCCACGGTTCTCTCCACTGGACTAGAGTGTCGCTGGCAGAGATCTGTCCTTGAAAGGAATACACTTTCTAGGGGCTGAGCGGGTCGGTGTTACTCTGGACAGAGCACTTGGGTATACTTCCACTGTGTTCGGGGTGACTCCTTTCATGGCAGAGCTGGGGTGTGAGGGCGAAAGGGGGACTGCTGACAGACTCCTGACCTCCCAGAGACTCCCTGAGATGTGCCACATGACACTCGCTGTGTATTGGAGCGGAGGAGGGAGGTGTGTCCTTGCCGTCCTTCCCACACGCAAGTGTTTCCCGAAGCAACGTCCAGACTGTGGATTCCCAAGCTCTAGAACTGCGCACAGGTTCTCACACCCCTCTTCGCCTCAGCTTTCTCATCAAGAAATAGGGATCTATTACGTACTTTATAAAGTTGTTAAATGGTAAGCACCCAACATGGAACTTTGAACACAGTAGATGCCCAGTAAGTATTCATAAACTTACAACATCGAGAAACCATCTTTGTGGGGAAAATGAAAAACATTTGACCATGAACAACACTGAGAACTCAGAAGCCTCACATTTGGAAAGATGTAAGACAAAACTAGCAGCACACCTGTCAAAATGTTGTCATGATGGTTTTTTTCTTGTGGCCTCAAACAAAAACTAATTAATACAGCAAAGTCATAGCTTATTACCTATGAAGGAGAAGAGGACTTTTAGAGCAGAGGACCCAGGAATTCCATGCATAGGTTACAGTTAGCACCATACTAGCCACTTGCAGAATCGTCACTCTTCTAGAAGGGAAGTTGCACCGTGACATTCCGTGTTAACTGCGTTTAGTTCTTGGGAGATCGGATCACTATGCTGTCAGTGTGGCAGGAAAACGAAAAACCATAGTCAAGTTTGCAGTAGGTTTCTTTCTCACACTAACTCCGTAATGAATGAGGGAAAAGATAAGGGGATGTGGGGAGGAAATGAGTATGTATTGAGCATCAGCTGGCGTTGAATAGCCAGTCATATGTTAGGTGTATTTTCCTGTGCATCCTATCGTTAAATCCTCTTAACATTGTGGAGAATGGACATCGCTCCGCTCTTACCAGGATGGTATTCTGATGTAGTGAGCTGTATCCTACCCTTTTCCATGCCTGTCTTCTTGAAGGTCCCCCAAAGAAACACCTGATCAAAGAAAAGCAAACTAGTACTCATTGCTAACTAGGGCTCTGGATTCCAAGGCATTTGAAAAACATCAGTAAATAAGTCTGGACCCTGTGGAGAGAGTTCTTACCTGAGCTTAGCCCTAGCCATCCGTCAGCATATTCTAACCAAAAGGCGAGTGGCAGAGCCTGACTAGTGTCCTGTGAGGAAAGGATGCTACAAGCATCATCACCAACGACCAAGGAGAAGGAGGGAGCAAGAGATGGACAGCCAAAGAGTGAGTGTGTCCCACTGCCTGGTACCCAGCCACTTCAGCTGCTGTCCTTTGCAGTCTGAAACAGTAGCCTTGGGCCAAGCTCCTACCACAAGGGAGAATAGCATCCAAGGAGAGGAGAGAGGAAATAAATAAGCCTTTTGCCTGCCTGCCCGGAGACCTCACAGCCCCTGTGGAAGGATAGAAAGAGATACTGTATCTAGGTAGTGCACACCAGTCTAGAAAATATACCCCTTAGGGTGTTTTGGAAGACCATCAATTGTTTTCTTTGACCCTAAGTTTGACTCATCAGAAAAGCAGAAAAGAACCCTGGCTGGTGTGGCTCAGTGGGTTGAGTACTGGCCTGTGAACCAAAGGGTCGCAGGTTCGATATCCACTCAGGGCACATGCCTGGGTTGCAGGCCAGGCTCCTGGTTGGGGGTGTGTGAGAGGAAACCACACATTGATGTTTCTCTCCCTCTCTGTCTCCCTCCCTTCCCTCTCTCTAAAAATAAATAAATAAAATCTTAAAAAAAAAGAAAAGCAGAAAAGAGATGGTAAGATAGATTTGTGCCCCAAAGGACAGTGGTGAATATCCTTGTCTCAACATTACGGTTGGAGCACCTGTGTGGAAAAGAGGCTAAACCTGTCAGGGCCGCACAGTGGAAGTACAGAGCCAAGATCCAGACCCAGGGCTGTCTGGCTCCAAAGCCACCCCCCACCCGCCACACATGTGTTCAAGCTCACGCACACACACGTTGCACCACCTCCATCTCCTTGTTTTAACATGATATCTTCACAGGTTACAAGACAAGATATCTTAAACAGACCTTCATTTAGGAAGAGCTCTATACAACAGCGGTTGGGGGGGGGGGTAGGCAGGGCAGGGGAGAGTAATTGGGGGGAAATGGGGACAACTGTTATTGAACAACAAAAAGCATTTTTTAAGAAGAAAAAATAAAATAGTAAGATTAGTAACCTAGTTCTAAGAATGAGTAATTATCTCCTGGAGATCAGAAAGGTCAAATAGTAAAGATAAGAAAGTCTAACACTAGATGGTGCTTCCTTCACCCAGCCTCCAGGAAGAACAGGGTGCTTACCACGAGTTGGGTTTCTTTCTGCTAGGAGTTAACCCTATTCAAGCACCTACCCTTATTTCTGCTTAACTTTTCTTGGTGAAAGTCGTACTTAATAAGTGTTATGTACTTCCCTACCTTCTTCCTGAAGCTGCTGAACAAAAACACACTATTATGATTGTCAGTCCTACACATCACGCAGTGGGTTCTGCGGGGGAATAGTAAGCTGTGTAAGCTGGAATACAGACCCAGCTCTCATCTCTTCGCTCTCAGTGTGCCTGTCCATCCCCTCATCCCATCCTTCTTCCTTCTCCTTTACACACTGCCCCCCACCCCATCCCCAGGAGCTTCTTATTTGAACAGGACAGGATGCCAGATAAACCTAATTTGAACTGCTTGTAAATAGCCCCTGAGTGTGTGTCTGGAGAGGTTAGTGTGGGAGTCCGCTTCTCCCACACAAACCCCTGAGTCCTGCCTAAGTTCTGGTACAGGTGGATTTGATCAGGAAGGTTGAGTGAGAGGGAAGAAGAGCCACGGGCCTTGGGGTTGGAGAAACTGGACCCGAATGCTGGTGTCTCCATAGACTAGTTGAATGACCTTGGACATGTGTACTTAACCTCTTTGAGCTTTAATTTCCACATTTGTAGAATGGAAATAATATCCATAATTCCTAGGCTAGGGCTCCTGTCCAGAATAAATGAGCTTGTGTGTGAAAAGAGCCTATCATAGCACCTGACCCCGAAAAGACATTTCCAGCAAGGTGAGCCCTCCTCGCTCCCTCCCCTCACTCTGGCATTTTGCTGGGGATTACGTCATGGCCCTCAGCTGCCTTCAGACCGTTGGTGTCGCCAGAGAAGCAGTGCCTGCACAGCGAACATGCGCGCCCACTCTGTGTCTCTCTTGGACCTTTGTTTTGCTTTTTCGCATTTTGTTCTTTAATCTTCATCTTCCCCCCCACGCCAACCAAAATTTGAGCCTGGACAGCCTGTGTTAGCTTTTGAGGTGGGAGTGGCTCATTTCCCAGGTCAATGTACTTTGGAGGCAAAAAATAACAAGTAATGAGCTCAGGCTCACCTTTACTTAGCACAGTGACAGAAGCCACCCCTCCAGAGCACCGGAGGGGATGATGGCCTGTGTGCACGCAGCCTTTTCCTGAGACTGACATCCGTCACTGTCTTCCGAGAAAGCGGAGTGTTGCAGCTGATGGAAGCCCAGCCTCAGGCAAAGGAGTAACTGTCAGCGCTGTCCCGAGAATGCCCAGACGAACAGGGTCCTCACTGAGTGTTCCCATCAGCCACAAGTCCAGCGCACAGCTATAAATACTGTGTAGTCACCCACCGAAGCTCTGACGCAGGAGAGGGAAGCATTTTACCTGGTGTAAACAGATTTATTCCAAGCGTTGGCATTGCTATAGTGTTTCATAGAGCTAAAAACATGCATATCTCTATACGTGTGTGTATATGTACCAATACACGTGTGCACATGTGCATATAGGGGACGCTTGCTCACTTGAGATATATATACACACACACATACTTTCAAAGGAAAATGTTCTTGTTTTCTCCTTAGAGAGAAAGTTGCAGCATTCTTAAATTTAATGACAAAATGTCATTTATCTTGATGGTGCTATAATGAAGTTCTCTGATTAACTTGACCATTTAGGTACCCAACTTCTTACCTTCCCTTTGAAGTTGTGTACTCTTCAAGGTTTATGGTAGTCTTTGGTATGATTCCGCATTAAAAGTTCATGCACTTTATATGTATGTTATATAATTTGACAAGATCATTATGTTTGTGTTTGATAGTAAAAG